AAGAATGTAGATGACTGTGGGAGAGGCAGACGACAGAGGAGCTGAAAAAGAGACTCTTATTGATCATTCTTTGGATCAATACATCGATGAACTTGATTATTATTTTATGAACCAACACTTAAATAAATAAATACATAACAAACACGGACGGTCGCCGCAGCCTCGATGTTCTGTGACATTACGACTTTTCTGTCATCGATTCAACAGTTTCTTATATTCATGACGTAGTCGAAATATATTTATTTTTAAGACTTTGTTGGTCCAAGTTTGTACAGCCCTTCAAAATAAAAGCTCCCGTTTCCTCAGTAGTGCAGTGGTTTCTTACTCCGGGCCGGAAGTCGTGTCGTTGTTGTATTCTGTGAAAGTCAGCAGGTCAACTTGACAAAGTGAGTTAAAGTAAGGCGGCACTTCCTCAGGTCTTTCTCAGATTGACTCAGACTAACTCCTTCGTCTTCTGCCCACTAGCGGCTTCATTTTTTTAGCCTTTTGTCTGTTTGTAGCCTAAATGCAGAAACCCACGTCGACATCTCCGGTTTTCGCAGCCTCCTGTCTCCGCGTCCATCGGTAAGTCGTACGTTTAATTTATCTTCATCCTCATAAATGTATTGTTTGGTTCGAGCGACGCCGCTGGTTCATTAACGGCAGCCGAACCGTTACTTTCACCGGTCAAAGATCTGTCTTTACATCTGGCGTTAAACGTCTGTGGTTTATCAAAATGATGAAGCTTTTTAACGACAACACTTTTTACTAGTTGACAACATTTCCTCACACTGTGTCACACACTGTGTGTGTTCTGTGTCACACACAGTGTGTGACACAGTGTGTGTTACAGTGTGTGTGACAGTGTGTATCTTTGTTCGGCTGTTGTTTCGGGCTTCGCTTCCTGTTTTTCTAAACTTCCTCCGAAGAGAACGAGGCTGAAACCAAACTGAACGCGACATTAAAACTAAGTTCACATAAGATGAATGTTTGTTTGTTTTTAACGATCTTCTCTGTAACTGAAACTCAACGTAGTTTTAAAAAATACGTCGTTGTTTCTGAAATATTCACAGAATGTTAGAACAGGAGAAGTGCGTGGTTTGGTCTGAACCCGTCGTTCCTGTGTATTGATCCGGTTTGACTTTTCTGTGTAACATCCTTCACTTCTTGAACCTGTTGACAGACTTGATCTCACGACATCAGGTCGAGTCCCCAAAACTGAAGTAGCATTTGAAAGGAAGTGGGTGTTAGTGGAGAAAAATGAAGAAAAGTTCAACCAAGACATGACAAATGTTAAACACTGACTTGACCTCAGCCTTGACCTTTGACTCGACCTCTGACTGACGTGGACCACGTCCAGTTAAAGCCCCCCCCCGACCCCCCAATAATCTGACAAAGTCCAAATCAGTACTAGTACTCACTACTGCTTCCAGTGTGGTGTACTTTCTTACCAAGTGTGTACCAGTGAGTACCAGTAAACAGTGGTAGCTGTTTGTGTTCCGTCCCAGCCATGGATGAGCGGCAGGTCCAGGTGAGCGACACAGAGCAGAGAGTCCAACGAGAGGAGACCTGGAGGAGGAGGAGGAAGAAGGCCATCTCGTCTGCCTCCAGCGCCTCCATGGAGCACGTCACCGTGGAGTTCGTTTTACCCACGGTGGCGCGGAGCGGGGGCGGCCCGGACCGCCTGCTGCTGGACGTGGCCGGAAACTGGACCGTGGACCAGGTGAGGCGGTCTGCCGATGTCCAGCCGGCGGCCCTGGTTGGCTGTGAGACATGTTGACCACGTGGGCTGCTCTGTCGTGTCCCAGGTCAAAGCCCAGCTGTGGCTGAAGGCGGTGACGTCAAACCTGTGTCCAGACTTCTACCAGCGCTTCACCCCTGACCACTGCATCCTGCTGTACCAGAAGAAGGGCACCATGTGTGAGATCTACGACAAGCACCAGGTGTTCCAGACGCTGGACTGCATTCGTTACTGGAGAGGTAACTGACAGTCAAACGTCCCCCCCCCCCCCCACCGGGGGTAAAAATCTAAATGTTCTGTTTTCTGAAGCTCTGAAGAAAGACAGGGGGCAGATCCAGCTGGTGCCCCGCCCCCAGCCGTCGGAGGAGTCCGTACGGTACCAGAGCTACCTGAACTACCTGATCGGCTACGACGTGACCGACGTCAGCGACGTTCACGACGACGAGCTGGAGTTCACACGCCGCAAGCTGCTGACGCCGCGGCGCATTGAGCTGTCCAACCGTGACCCCCAGCTGTACTCTCTGGACCCCTGGGTGACCCGCAAGCCTCTGCCTGAGCATCTGCTCAGCAAAGTAGGTGGGACTTAGACGTTGGGTCATAAATAATGTGTGGTTTGACTGACGGTTGTCACTTCCTGTTCTCCTCAGGTCAGCAACGGTCACATCCTGGTGGTGATCCACATCTCCACGGCCAGTCAGACCATCAAGGTGTCCATCGACGACACCCCGGCCCAGGTGCTGAGCCTCGCCGCCGCCTGAGCCTCACCGCCCCGTGGTTCCGTCCTGTCCTCCTGCTCATCCTCTCCTCCTCTCTGCTCCAGGTGCTGCTCAGCTTCTTCTCCAAAGTGGCCAACAAGAGAAGTTTGTTTGGTCTCCCAGAGGACGTGTGTGAGGCCGACTACGTGCTGCGTGTCTGTGGACGGTAAACACATCCACCAACACCTGCTGCAACCACACACTCGATTCAAACAGGACACTAACTGACCCCCCCTTGCACCTCTGTCCACTCCTCTCACCCTTC